CTAGGACTTCATGGCACCTTCACTTCCAGACATTTCTGCATTGTTACTTTCTGCTCTGTACCGTGCCTTAAAGGGGAAATGCCAGCATGCTGCAAGAAATTGTATTTTGTGACTTTTTTATTCAGTGTGAAGCAAACAAGCCCTGATGTGCACCTGCCATCCTGACAAAGCAGAAACCCTGAAAAGGTAAAAAGAAAGAGATAGATAAAATGAAATCTATTTCCTTTCAAAAATGGAGCAGACCTCTATGGCTTAGCACAATATTGTCTCAATTTTTCTTTATCTCTCACTGGAACGGGGATAAATGCACCACAGCCAGCTATGATCTCTAACACTTTATAACAGGAGCAGTGTAAGCATCACACTTTTCAATATCCTCAGAAAAGACTGAGCACTCTCTACTTGGTTGTATTTGCACAATCACACAAATATACATACTAAGAAGAAAAGAAAAAAAAATCTAGTTAACGGGATTAGTAGTAGGCAGGCAGTGGGGATAATGCCAAGGGTCCTATACGCATAATGCTACAAGAAAAATTGCGTCATTCTACAGATTCTAGTTTCTGTTCCATAAGGTATTGGGAACATTGGTTTTGCAGGAGCAGCTTTGTCTTGAGGGAGGTGAAGAAGGGAATACTTTGCAGGGCTTGTGAAACAGACACAGCTCTGACTTGAATAGACTGGGGATGTCTCTCCTTGCGCGGGATGTATAACCTAAGGACAATGTCTAGGTACCATACAAGACAATTGCAAGTCAGATATGCAATAACTTGATATGCAACAGTGGAGACATTAGTGATGCTGGCATTGACATGAGGACTAGAAAAAAGAAGTCTCTTAATAGGAGGTGGTGCTAATGGGGCTTCTTCCATCATCTGAACAGCCCATACTGCTGTGTTCAACTCAAGACTGTACAATGCCTTAATGTCCTACTGAAAGCACAGAATACTCGAGGTTTTCTGTGTTATCTGCTGATCTCAGCTCTCACAGATACATCCTGAACTGCCCATTCATCTAGGACCAGAACAAATACAGGGTGGACTCGTTCACAGGATTGCTAAGGCTGCAGGAAACCTCTCAATGTCTCTAGCAAAAGCTGCCTGCTTAAAGCAGGTTCAACAAGATAGTTAAGGTCACTTGTATCTCCAAAAGCATCTTCACTTGGCACTGTCTGCCCAGCCACCAAATGGAAAGAAGGCTAAACTCTGCATATTTTTATGAACAGCCCTATTTTTTGTGTGTACTCTCTGATGTCCCAGGTAATGCCAGGGGCATTTATTTCCAAAGAAATAGTTACTGAAGAATAGAAATAACAAATACAGGGAGACAGAAGGCATTAATGCCAAGTTCACCTGAGCACACATATTGTTCAAATACCAGAGATGAGCGATAGTGAGACATTAAATCTCAGTCCTTCAGATGAAGGTTCATCACTTTATACAGAGAGTCTCAGGGTGTATATGTGTGGTGCGTGTATAATATACTTGCACAACTGGATTCTCTCTCCAAAACATACTGCGGGCATCAATAGTCATCCAAGTTTGTAATTTTTCAAAATAAAGTCATTAATTCTCTTTTAAAGAGTAGGCACAAGTTGCAGTGAACTGCCTAACCACTGCTTTCAGAGCCCAAGTTTGAATGAGCTTGGTCTACAAGACTGTAACAAATAAACTACTTTCTAAATAGAGGATATTCATCAAAAGAGGTTTTTTGCTTAGATAACTAAGACAAACGTCCCATTTACATGGTAATTAAGTTACAGGATTCCCACATGCGCTAAAATTACTAAAACGTGTGCTTTGCAGTGCACACAGCAATAAATCTTATAATTAAGAAAGGCAAGATCACATTTCTTGGAGAAGAGATTTTTACAGATTTTTAATACTCCTTATACAGAGAGAACAAGCAGCTGGATCCTACACAGCTGGAGCCAGATCCCAGCTTTCCTATAGTCCAAAGCCTCTGTGATACAGGGCACCAGTTTAACTACAGTGACTAGTTGAATTACAGTTACTGAAAGTGTCGGACATTTTGTGCATTGAACCAATTTGAAGAATATTTGAAAACTACTCAAGAGTACACTGTCCAGTCTGCAGACTAGACATCAATGAAGTCTTTAGATAGAATCATAGAATCTTTAAGGTTGGAAAACACCTCCAAGATCATTAAGTCCAACTGTTAACCCAGCCCTGCCATGTTCACATCCACATGTTTTTTGAACCATTCCAGGGATGGTGATTCCACCACTTTCCTGAAGAGTCTATTCCAGTGCTTGACACCCATTTCAGTGAAGAACTTTTACACAGCCACTCCTCATATGATTCTCTCTATAGACCCTTCCCCAGATCCACTGCCCATCTCTGGACACGCTCCAGCACCTCACTGTTGTTTTTATAGCGAGGGGCACAAAAGAACACAGGATTTGACAGTGTAGCCTCAACCAGTGCAGAGTACAGGGGAAGAATCACCTCCCTAGTCCTTCTGGACACACTATTTCTGATACAGGCCAGGATGCCTTTGGCCTTTATGGCCACCTGGGCTCACACTGGCTTCTGTTTAGCCACCGTCAAAACAGCACCCTCACATCCTTTTTTTGCTGGTCATCTTTCCAGCCACTCTGCCCCAACCCTGGAGTATTATATGGAGTTGTTATGACCTGAGTGCAGGACCTGGCACAACTGCATTTCAATCTGTTATCTCAAACTTTGCACCTATACTTTGTTATATATTATGCCATAATATAAGCTTGCAGAACCTACAATTTTCAAAAATGACTAGGAGGAACACACTCCACAAATACTTTCATGTTCAGTCTTTCCCCAGCTCATCCACTGGCTCAGGATCAATTTCCTTATTTATTTTCTTTGAACTGAACAACTTAACTTCATGAAATCAATTCTGTAAATTTAACTTCTCTCAAGATTGTGTCCCAGATGTGTAAAACGTATAACATGATTTGGACCACAAAGACCCCAAACATATATCCTTTCTTCTTCCCAACAAAAGCACAGTTATTGGAGTTTTCAGACAAGGAGGGAGCACTGGCCCTTTCACTGAGTGAGAAAGTTTCGGTCTCCACGGTGCCAGTGAGGCTCATGCCTTTCCATGATGAGGAGTATTTCTGAAGTTCAACTCAACACTTTCCCACACCACAGGCTTCTCTCTTGCCCTTCAAGGCACCTCCACTGATACACCAAATCCATCTATAAGACAATAATTTTTGCCAATTGTACATTTTTTTTTTCCTTTTTTAAAATCTACCTTGGTTTCGTGATCATATCTACTCTATAATCTAGTATATCATATCTACTAGATCATAACTACTAGAGATCATGTCTCGTATAGATCTATCTGGATCATATGGTATGGACACACAAATTTAAAGCTGCCCAGAGAAAAGCATTTCAATAAAGTGTTTAAATCTTTACTAGATTACATGAAACTTTTTTTTGTGTGTGTGTGATATTCCACAATAATGGTGGTGTTAATGTAAAACACCACCATTCTTATTTTTAGATTCTTGTCCTAAATAATTTTATGGTGTGATCAGAGATTGATGCTTGTCATCCTTGGTACACTAAAAATAAGGAACATAATTTCAGTAGAACCACAGAGTTACACTGTAGCCTGCACTTGGTGACAATGAAGGCATTGGGGACATCCCACAGCACCTCTGCAGCATGCCAGAAGAATTCCCTTTTGTTTCAACATACAAAACACACCAGTTGGTTTTGAATGGTCTACTTGATTTTAAAAAATCTGTTTTTCCAAGAAAACAACAAAATTCTTCCTCTTAAGTCTCAGGAAAAATGACATTTTAATTCCTTTTATTAAATCAGCTTTATCTTATGAATTTCATCTACCATTTCGGGCACACCAAGTGTGAAATTCACATTCCCCTGAATTCAGTAACCATTAAACCTGGAAAGAGGTTTGATCAGCAAATTGAGTACTTTCTCCATACAAATTAACAAACATGAACATACAAATATGAACATAAAGGCCTCAGATCACAGAGGTTTTGCCCACTTATCAAAAAACTGCAGCTCCAGCAGGCTGTTCCCTCCTACAGTAAGGAATAATGGAGACTGGCCTTTGGCTCCAACTCTCTAAGCAACATATCTGAAAAAAAACATTAAATGTTTACGGTCCTAATGCATTTCCAAAATATCCTTACTACTCCCTTAACTATCTGAAGCACATTAAATTTCCAGCAGTTCCATTTCCATTTTTCAGAACTTAGCCAGATTAAAAAAAAACAAAAAACAAAACAGAACCTATTATTCCACATACTAACTTCAAAGCATACATTTGCAGAAATAATTCAGAAATATTTAGACACTAAAAATCCCTAAGAAACAAAAGAGAAATTATAAAGTACTTAAAAAAAATATCAGTTGCTCATTTCTTCTCTACTTTTACAAGAAAATCTGTGGTTCCTCTTGGGTTTCAATTTAGAAGGGATTCGGATTACTACTTAAACTCAAAGGTGTCTCTGGCAGATACAGACATTTCATCATTATATTGTCTCGCTGAAAGGGCAGTATTGCACATAAGGTGTACCATATCTTCATCACGAATGTGCTGTAATGGCTAACAAGAAAAATTATAAATTATTTACTTAAGCAAAACCAACTAATATATTAAGGGGATGACATGTTCTGATAAATCAAGTAATTTTTCCTTCTCTTTCATTTCCTCTAAAACTTCAAAGCAATCTAATGTTGTTTATGCATAAAATTTAATCCTTTCACCAATCTGTAGTTTGATTGAATTTGCATACTCTATTCCCTACAAGTCAATGTGAAGAGAGCCTCCTGTAATTGAAACCATTTCCCCTCCAGTCCTCCTATCTTTGTTATGGTATTTTCTATTAGTAGCTCTATTATGCCTAATATCCGTAATGTTGGCAGATTAGAATTTTCACTTAATGCAACCTGTATCTATAAACCACTAGGATGAAAAAAGAACAAATACAAGAAAGAGGAAATAATAATTACCTGTCTTTGATGCCACACAGATCAATGTGTAAATCACTAAAATTCCCCAGGGAGCCTTGCTGAACTAAAATGAGGTCCTTGGGCTGGTTATCAATAAAGATGAGCCTCATACAGCCTTGAAAAGCAGTAATGGGATTTAAACACTGGGAATCAGTGAAATTGTCAGGGCACCCTGTGGGAAAAAGAGCAGAGGCAGAGAAGAATATTGGAATGTTCAACTATTTCTGCTGGGATTTCATAATGCAAGAACTCATAGGCTTATAATTCCAAATGTTTTTATTCCTTGTGCTATGCAACCTCCTGTGTTATAAATCCAGTTAGGGGATAAAAAATAGAGAGCAGCCAGCTCCTGGAAATATCAGAGTATGAGGTTTTCACAAGTGATAAGCAAAATCAAAATGTGATTTTTTTTCATCTTTAAACTCCACAGTTGATAGCAACTAACTCACATTGAAAAAGTTGTACAAAATGTAAAATCATTATGAGCTAAATTCTGTTACTGAAGCAATGCACACAGTAAAAGGATGAAATCCTGTGGGCAGCAAGAAAGCCATTTGTATCTCTTCCTCAATATTTAGACAACTCCGAGATCCAAAGCCTCCTGTGCATCCTCACTTATTCAGAGGGTTCATCAAAATCAGACCCTTGCTACAGGAAGCACTACACAGAAATGTATTATATAAAAAGACAGTTAATGACACTACTGTTATCTAAATTAATACTTGCACTCCAAAAAGGAGAAGATAGTATTTTTCAAGACTGTTCTTTCCATTTTAAAAATTGAACTAAACCTATATTCATTTCCACGAGAGTACCATACCTAAATACCTCTGTAGATCTGAGGCATGTCATCTAAGTTCTGAAGTCTAGAGTCACTGAGCCTGATCAGAACTGTGATATCTACAGGAATATTGATAATACTAATAGTTCTAGGGCCTTTTAACAAAACAAAACAAAACAAAAGCCTAAATATCCCACTTGTGGTTAATAAAGTTTTGTAGATTTTGCATATTTTGCCAGCTAGATGTAGGTATCCATTGGCTACCAATACAAGTTATCCACTTTTACAGCTGTGCTAGCAGTTCTGCTTGTTCTCTCTCTGTCAGGCTTAACCAACACCCTTCAATCTGCCCACAGTGCTGTATACATTGCAGCTCAATTGGCTGTCCAAAATCAGTCATTCTGTTTGCTCTTAGCTGCAGAGTTCTCCCTGCACCTGGGGAGAACTCAGTGGTGAGCACCTGAGGATCTGCATCACAAAAACCTGTCTGAAACAACCTACCTCCAAAATAGTAGCTGTTCCCAGAGTAGATCCTTGAGACAGTGGTTGCATGGCTGGCAGTGGCAGCGTTGTTATCCAGTGTCAGGGTAATGCGATGTCTTCTGGCATTGATGTTAACAGAATGCCAAAGCCCATCGTGGAGATTGGTGCCTGGCAAAAAAACAAGTACAAAGAGTGAAAAAAGAGGTGCAAGAGACAACTGTGGTCTTCAAACCTCCTGTTGTTTCCAACGGGTGACCACAAATACGCAGTTGATCCAAAAAGAGGGAGAACTGTAAGTCGAAAAGAACTCATTACCTCTGGAAACAAACTGGCATAGAAGGGCCAAAGAAAGGGAAAGCTTGTAAGAGTATTTAGGTCATCTCCATTTTCATCTAATCTGGTGCTACGGGGACTCATCAAGCTAGCCAGATCCCTCACCTTTGTGGCAGCACATTAGTATAATTTTGTGCACCTTTATGTCTATCTTCAGTCTGTTGATAAATGCTTATATGTCCCAGGAGCATGCAGAGATCTCTACTGAGCTTCTGGTACTAAACATGTGCTTGAGGTCACAGAGGATTAGATTCAGTGAGGCAGTCATACCCTGCTCTCGGGATCCATATGAAACCTGGCAGTCTCCAGTAGGTATCAGCAGGATTTGTGTTTCTTAAAACCCTTTAGCATCAATGCAGCACACAGTACTATTAATGGATGCACTTTGCACCTTTCCACATTGGATTTCAACATGGATCTTCTGAGAGCTATGATTGTTTCTCTGACCAGGAAAAGATAAATGAGAGATAACAACACGAGGTAGCCTCTTTCTCTTCTACACACTTGTGCAAAGTGGGATATGACCTCTCTGTTTCCTTATTCTGAAAATCAGTGTTCCACTGTGGCTCTTGAAACAGCAGCACAAAGCTACAGTGAAACTCCACATCCACTACTCTGACAGCTGTAAAAAACACTGGGCAAGCTTCTGAGCTCACACACAGTGGTGCAGATCAAAAGTAACCTAACAGCAGTTCAAAATATGCTACTGTCAGGCTGGAGTCACTGAGATCAGGTACAGACAACTAGTATTTACTCCCCTCTCTAACAGAATATTTTTGTTAATGTAGCTTTCAGAGAAAACAAACGAGCACTTAGCAACACAAAGAACTGTGGGAACAGTTCAAAACACAATAAAAAAAATGTGGGTGTTATGTGTATGAAAAGCCATTTCATTATGAATTCGAAAATGAGACTATTTCCTCAGTAATGGCTGTTAACACATGCACAATTGCCATGGAATTAGAGGCTGGTTTTACAGCAAAAATGTATGATTTTTCAACTAGAACGAGTCCATTTTGAAGTGAAATATGTTGCTGAAGTTTGAAACTATAACAAAACAAAATAGGTCCCATTTGGGGCAAAAATAGGTTAATTCTTGAGCAAACGTGAGTTTATTGTGAGTACCTGACATCTGTGGAACATGGCATTTGCACTTTCTGCATATTTTCCACGTGTAAGTAGCCAGTTTAGCCATGTTTTGGATAGTACCAAAGGCTGGGCTAAGGTTCATGATTTCAGAATTACAAAAAACATACACATCCAAACAAATATTGACATTGTCTCAGTTTTGTCAACAATTTAATTAGGACTGCAATAAAGGCTGGAACCTCGGTTTTCAATGTTCAGTTGCAGCAAACTATGGCTGTGGCAATCTACATGAACAAGAATAGATGCAGGGCTGCCTCGTCTTCTATAATAAAGGGGAACAAAACACACAGGGGAACAAAACAGAACAGCTCTGCTTTGACAACTCTGTCAGTTTTTATCTCTGCTTCTTTTAATAGATACAACTATTCTCTTTTAGTCTTTACAGGGGATATTTTAATATTAAATGTTTTAAAACATCTGCTCTCATATCTAATAACAGTTGTTATTATAACAATTATATTTTATATGCACTTAATAATAGATATTATTATTATTATTATTAATAATAATAATTATTATTATTATTATTATTTCATTTCATCTGAGTTCCATCAGTCCACCTTTGGCAACTAGTATTCAAACAATGCAAAATATTAATTTCCCACTCTCCCCCTCCAGCATGCCTACATAACAGCATGGGGGTATGCAAAGGCCCTAGACTAGGAACATTTCTGTTTCGGATGCCAGCATGGCTTATGTAAGTCACACTGGCATGGCAGCAGGGCCACTCTGGTCCTGCCTTTGTTGTATATCTGAAATTGTTTCCCTGATGTCTCTGTAATCCAATGCAAAGGTGTTCTGGTAAGAGTTTACAAGCAGTTTCCCCACAATTTTAAATTAAAGAGGCATCCCACCAGCTGCACTGAAAAAAGCAACTTGCAAAGTGACTAAGGAAGCCCGAGGGAGTGTAAGGAAAGGAAGCCCATGCTCAGTCTCTCTTCTGACTGTAGCACAAAGGGAGAGTGTAAAGCTACAGTCAGAGGAGGAAAATCAGCTTCAAGGCTGCCTTAACTTGTGCTGGAGAAAGGTACAGTGGCTGAGCTGCCTCCCAGCTGACTATTGAAGACAGGAAACAGGAAGGTCTTCATGTGACCTGACTGAAGATAATTTAGCATGACTGCTTAAAAACACAGAGGCCGATCTAATTGTCAGACAGTTCGAGTCTAGAGATCTCAGGATGCCAATTTTCCATGCTTAGGTCAAGCTGTACCGGGTGGCTCTATCACTGGAAATCAAAAGAAAATTTAAAAAAGAAAGTAAGATTCGGTGCTTCCTTATTTCTTGATTCTTTCATCCTGTGGAGCTGAAACTCTGTGTTTTAGAGGGAGACAAACGAAAGTAAACAAAAAACAAGCACCTTCACTGATTTCCACTGGGTTCTCAGTCTCTTTTTGAATAAGTAATATCAATCTCCCACTGTGGAGGTAAACCAAGAGAGGTCCTGAATTTTCAGACAATTCGGTGAACAGAAGTAAGCCATCTTTATTCCATGTTCGAAACTGGAAGCTGACTGACAAACCATCAATTTGAGGAGTGCCGGGTAGTAGCAAGTAGCTTCGACTGGTGCTCACAAAGGTGATGGGAACAATTTGTGGTTCTGAGCAAGAAAAAGTCACGTTCCCCTGCAAACAATAAAAATCAAACATAATCAGTATGACTTTTTTTTTTCAGTCATCCCAAAGCATCTTTATTTAAATAAGCTCACTGGATTTCTAATGGCCCTCAAGGCTGAAATAGGTATTATTATTCAGACACAAATCTTGGGAAACCATTAGGAAATGTATCTCTCCATGCTGGGAAAACACATCTAACTTCAAAATTTTACTTTCATCCTAAATGGGAAAGATCAAAAAATCAAAACAGTTCTTAGAAGGATCTAGATGTGTCTAAATGTCCCTTATCAACACCACGCCTTAGTTGATTACGTCAGTCATCCAGCCCTGAAATCAATGGTGCTATTTGCCCAGAAGAGCAGCACATTTACTCAAAGCAGTCAGCAGAATCTGTACCAGCATGTATCACTGCAGTTTGTGGAAGAAACAACTCCATTTTGCTCAGCCATTGTAGATTACCCAACCAGGTCATTCAAGACGTAATAAAACCTTAACAACATATAAAGCCAGGAGGCATCTAAGGAGCTATGTCTTTTAGAGCCACTCCAGGAGATTGTTGCAGCCACCTTGCTTTGAACTAGGCTGCTTTGTAAAATACTAACTGTAATCTGACAAAAACATTGGAGTGTAAGGCTTTCTCCATGATAACGCTTCTCATCAGAGCCCATACCTCACTCTAGCAGGACAATTATAACCAACAGCACTTGATGGATGTGCAGAAAGTTGCACAGTGCTTGGGGAATTCCTCTCTGCCATCTCAGACAGCTGATGGAACTGTTCCCTATCACTTTCAAATGTCTTTCCATCTTGTATTTTAAAATGGAAAATAAAGTATCAGAAATAGACTAAGTTATCACTGGATGAAAGAGCCCTTGGTAAATATTTATCTGTATAGAGTTATTTACATATTACCTGCCCTGTGAGGTTCAGAATGCTACATACCAGATTTAGCAATGGCAAAAGGAATCCATGAGCATATTATATTAGAATGAGTTTTGAGATATAATCCAAAATTTATCCAAACTCCACTGAACATCAGTTATATGGGAAGTAGGACAGAAATTTGTTCTCAGCCTTTAAAGTTTCTACTACGTGGTGGGTTTTGCCTGCATAAGAGTTGCCACAAACTTTTTTTTGCTATTGTTGTTGTTATATATCCACCTCAATTTTCAATCAAATTCATGCCAAATTACAGAAAACAGTCAACTGCAGGATTATAAATAAATACAGTTAACCTTCTCTAGAGCTGTTTTAAGTTTAGACACTTTAAATGGCAATGACTATTTTCCTTTGGAATTTTAGACCTTTACAGTGCTTTCAGTATTTTACACAAAGTTGTAAGACATTTATTGATCATAGAATGGTTTGGGTTTGAAGGGACCTTAAAGTTCATCTCATTCCAATCCCCCTTCCACTAGACTAGGTTGCTCAAAGCCCCATCCAACCTGGCCTTGAAAATTTCCAGGAATGGGTAACCACAAATTCTCTGTGAAAACTTTTTCAGTATGTCATCACCCTCACAGTAAAGAATTCAGATATGATTTTTGTCTCAAAGCTCTTTCCAGATTTTTACCTACCTGCAGAAAAAGCTATGCCTAGGCTGACTTAATGGTGCCAAAGAAGGCAAATGCTAAGATGAAAAAACATTTTGCAGTGCACAACAAACTTTCAGATGACCTTAAAACAAGCCAGTAAAGACCTTGTGTAGTTAATATGCTTCCAACTGTTTGTAGCAGCAGCATAACAAAGTATCACTGATGCATAGGCATATGCCCAAATATAAGGTAATGTTTCCGTCTGCATTTGACACGAGATTCTGAACACATGCCACTAGTCCTAAATTCAAGGGTTGCCTCCACGCCTTGAAAAACTCAGCAACACTCCAGTCATTCACAGTATCTAGCAATTCATGTAAGCTGGGATATGCACAGAAGTCCTGTCCTGACACGAGTGTTGATTCCATGACCAGTGCTGGGACATATGGACAGGAGCTACACATCTCTTCTCTTGCTTAACCTGGTGAGACTTCAAGCTCTGCAGCCTCTCCATTGACCAAATTGAAGAAGAGTGTGATTCTACCTGCCACAAGAACAAGCAGGTGGAAACGCATAAAGGTGGTGCCTCAATATTCTGTGCACATGAGATTTAAGGGACATTTCTGGGATAGACGAGAGGTGTGTCTGCCTTTTGGGGGAGTTCTTTGCAAAAGGTATTTTTGTTACTCTTATTCAAAAATTGAGATCTCCACGATGTAAAGGCCTTATCTGGTTGCGGTCAGAGCTAAAAACTAGCCAGTGTTTGTGGGGAAAAAAAAAGGATAAGTAAAGTTGATGCCATGTAAACTTAAGTCAGTTGAACTGACTCATTTAGGAGGGAAACACCTTCTAAAAGCAGCATTCAAGAGTAAAACGAGATGATGTTTTACACCAACCATAGCTGCTAACATCCTTACACTGACCAATGCTGTCCACCTTCCTAGAGACAATAACACGAAAATCCGATTAAGAAATACGCAACTGTTGATTTGAAAAACATTTGTCCGCTGAAGTGGGATAGGTCCCCTTTACAAAAACTGTTAAATTTGTACTGAATTTTATTCTCAAACAAGTTTTGCCATCAGATCTAAGTCAGAAAAGTAAACAGCTCCCTTTAAACCTGCATCTGATCACAAGCATTTTGCTTTAATTGGCAGCAGTTCTAGAACTCTCCAGGGTATATGCCAGATTTCTGGCAGACACTTGATTTTGTAATTGAACCCAGTTTAACTGAAAAGTTGAAGCTCATTGGCTAGGAAATGGGATAAGAACAGTCTAATCCCTAGAGACAATAAAGGAGATGCTCAGCTCTACTCAGCTACTGGAAACTCTAGCTATACTATGGCATTCGAGAATTCCATTGAGTCCATCCTCAGACTGATTAATGACTCCTCTAATAAGCAGTGAAATCTTTCCAAAAGAGTTCTTATTGTTCTTACAAGAGAAAACTTCTGAACCTAGAAATGCAATGGAGTTATTTACAATTTTTTCACTGGCTGCCATGGTACTTGTCTCAAGAAAAGAGTAGAACCATCCCAGATTTCTGCAGGCAAGGTACAGTTTTAGAGATGATTCTTGTTCAAGTAAGGTGTTGAATCAACAGGCATGTTACAGCATTTTAAGAAAGAATCAAAGCTTTTCCTATTAAAAGAGAATGGAAGAACACAGTTGCTAAGTGATGAGGATAAAAGTGGATTACATTAGAAGATCCTCTGAGCCATAAAACTCATCCAAAACTGACTGGAGCCTTTCCAGTGACTTCTGTGGGACTTCAATAAAACCTGTATAACTTTAATGAACCATTTCAGTCTTTTCTGGCCTTTCTTCATGTAATACTATGTACTGTTCAATGAAGAGAGAAGACAACACCATAGCCAGGGCAATTGGTATCAAGTTTCTTATACATTCTCCTTGTTCTCAGAGAATACTAATCAAAAATAAGACGCACTTGGGAAATTATTCAAACTGACAGCTGCGCTGAAATCCTCAGCACTTAGCCTACCAGAGGATCCAGGCCAAGATCACAGCTTGAAAAGAAAGAACAATAAATGAGTATTTCTGAGCTCTTATTCTACCTGCGGATTAGAGTATCAAATGGGTGCTTAACTTTTGTCATTAATCACTCTATGGATACTGTCCAATAAAAAGGATGTCTTGCTTTCTGCGGAAGATTAGAAAGGAATACTTCATATGACAGGTAAGGGGACTAAAATCCCAGGCCTGGCTGAAATACAAATGTGGTAAACTGTCCAGAATATCTCCAGCTTAGAAACTGGAGGAGTATTTCTAGCTGTGAAGAGACTGAATTTGCAGATGAATTTGGGAGCAAGGTGACAGAGGAAAAAAGTGACCTCTGATGCAGTTTCAAAGGATAAGATGAAAAACTGTCATTCGACTCTGAACAACTGGATTTTAAGAGTGAGGGAGGTCCCTTCAAATCCCGTTTTTAAATTAACTTTCTCAAGCAGAACAGATGTCAGGAAACCCACATAGATTTCAAATACATTTCAAGACCTTGCTAAGCACTGAATGAAAAGCAAATCAAAGTGAGATCCCAGCTCCAGCCTTCTGAAATACTGTTGCAAACTGTCTTCAGACAGGATATGGGAGCACCAAGGTGCACAGTGTTACTTGAGTTAGGAGTAGTCCACTGAGTGAGCAACCAATCCGTTCCAAGAGCAGGGGTCCATACCCACCCTATACTGAAGGGGATTCCTCTTTCACTAAGCAAAATTATGAAAATCTGAAAGCTTTCCTGATCCAAGTTTCATTGAAACTAATATAGCCCTGTGATAATCAGTCTCATGATAAAGACTTGCCCTATCTCCACTTACTGTAGGTATCATGAATGGTGATAAAATTCTAATTGTTTATCACATTGCTTTAAGTTGTTTACACTAAGATAATGTTCCTAATGGGGAAAAAGTAACACTTAACAAAAAAAAAAAAAAAAAAGAAGAAGGCTTCAAAAGACCTGAAACATTGTGACTGTGAGAGAACCAGAGATTAGATGTTGGCTAAATGTTTATGGATGCTCTTTATCACAGAGTCCTTAGCTATGTCGCTGGCCAGAAGCAGAACAAAGCATTTTACCATTTTTATGTCCATAGTAACTGTACATTATTGTTTCATTATATGGTACAATAGTTAAGAGTTGATGATAAAAGATGGGAGCAAATATAGATGTAATTGGAAAAATTACATAACAGACAGGAAAAGGAAAAAAAAAAAGACAGGAGGAAACGCAAAAAAAGAGTGACCAATTAATATTTTCCCTTTGTGGTAGATTCGCCTTGTCTGGATGCCAGGTGCCCACCAAGGCACTCTATCACTCCCCTCCTCATGGGGCAGGGGAAGAAAATAAAGATGGAAAAAACCTCTTGGGTCAAGATAAAGGCAGTTTAATAAAGCAAAAGCAAAGGCCGTAAACAGAAGTAAAGGAAACCAAAAGATTTATTCTCTACTTTCCATCAG